CTGGGATTAAGAGAGCGGGAGACATGTAACATCAATCAAACACTCTGGCCTTATAACTAAATTCACTTTAGTAAATCTACCTGTTCTTCCACAATGCCCTCAACCTGTTTTACAAACCCACGTACATGCCCTTTTTTAAAATTCTCTTTCCTGATTGCACTATATGTATTCCTCTGACACATTTACAGATCTAAAGGAGCCCCTAACATTAACCATACACACATACACACGCACACATACACACGTGCAAGTATATTCACATGCAGGACCTTTGATGTGACATAACACTTTTTATTTATTACATTGTATACGACAGACTGGTCCACCTTCAGAGTGAAGTCACATGATCATCATCATTACCACCATGAGTCACTATGACCATTTCCAACATGAAACTTCAGGACTGTACAGGTTCTTTCAGGTGTGTGAGTGTAAGGGCGTTTGTGTGCTCCCCAGCATAGCACAGCTGGACGGAGCTTTTGCTGCCCTAGATCAAACCACCTGCTTGCAAAGGCAAAATTATTACTCTTAAAATATTTCAACTTTTTAATTGCCTTGTGTGCTTTCCAATACAGATGCTTCTTGAGTTTTCATGAGTAGTATCAGGCAAAGAAAAAAACTGTTTAACATTTCTTTCATATGGAAACCCAATGTGGTGTTTTGTCCCTTGCCTCGCAAACCTAATATCAATACAATGCTTAAATCATCCTTTTATTCTGCCACTGTGGGAGCAGAGAAACATTTTAAATCCAAAAGACAAACACCACAGGGAAAATAAATAGATTAAAATGAACAGACTGTGTACATAGCAAATCACAGTTTCATTTGTCCTTTTTCTTAACAGAAAAGCAGGTTTTTCAAGGTTTTACATTCTCCAGGGCGTGGGGGCTACAGAAGCATCCAAGCACAAAGGTAATCTCAGAGATGACCTTTTCAATATTTCAGCGCTATTAACTAAAAATCAGATTTTCAGGTTGCGGGAGAGGGGGATTAAATGTGATACGGATCAAATCACACAATTTGTAATGCGATTCAACTATAGTTTCCAACACCCTAGATGACATGGCTTAGCCCCACTCACATTAAACAAACCCAGATGGGGGATATCTGTCAATATTGCAGAGATATATCGGTGTCAAAATCAAGTTTCCCAAAACTGTGTGGAGAGGACAGATTTTTGGAGTTATACATAAAGCATTTTTCACTGATTCCATAAATCTTAGCTGCCATGAAACCAACCACAGTATTGCAGTATGGATAAATTCATTCATCGTGTTTTGGTGAACGGCAACGACAAATCAACTGGCGAATCCAGAGTTGAATCTCATTACCTTCGAGCTTGGATTTGGCTAAAGTATGATCACAGCCTACAGATCCCCCTGACTCAGACCGGCATCAGTCAGCCTTTTTTTCACACACTCACACACAAACACAGCCCCGACAGAAAGAGCAAACATCGCTCAGCATCCCGGAGGCTGCTCTATGTCATTTTGTGTATTCACTGAGTCCCACGCAGCCTCCTGCTCAATACTTCTGAGACAAAAGAAGAAAATAGTACAGTCTACACACTGACACAGTCTTGGACACCGCAGTTTAACAATGCTTATTTCTTCCAGCAGCTTATTCACATTTTTACATGTATTTTTGTTCATTCCTCTTGCTGTTTAAAAAAAGAAGGAAAAGGTAGCGCTTCTAAAGACCAGAGTTTAAGACTATCACATACAGTATAGGCAGCATAGAAGAGGAAAGTTGGTTAAGTAGTCTATAATACAGTAGGTCACTTGATTAAGAGAGAGTAAGAGAGAAGTCTGTGATTGTCAGTCCCCCCTTTTGCCTGAGGTGTCAGTCACACAGCGGATGTTGTTTTTCTTGTCTTTTTTCATGATCGGCATCTTTGATCAGAGGCACTGAAGCGAAGACGGCCGATCTGTGCTGACCCATCTTCATAACGAACGTCCTTCTCTCGGCTTCCCGCCACAACGGTCCAAAAAACCCCACCGCCACTGTCTAAACTTGACACGGTTCATCAGATAGAAAAAAAAAAAGAAAGCTCAGCAGCCACGCACACACACACAGTGCCGCCGGCTGGGAGGCCGCCTCCACGTGCGTTTGACATCAGCGGTGTTCGGACGCACTGCGCATGTTTCTCACAGTTTTTTCCAGCTCACACACAGGCCCCTCACACACCCTGTCCCCTGTTATTGCACAGAGATATATTGTGTGCCCGGTTTTGGGTGAAGTATTCGTGCGCTCGCTCAGTGCAAGCTCTACTCGACTGTACAGCAGGGATGGATTCTGAGGACCTTGTTAACATTGTACAGTCAATGCTGTGGCCTCACAGTTCTGCTCTGACAGTTGACGTTATTTCTGCAATGTGTCTGACTGAATCTGCGGACGTGACAGACTGGTGGGATGGCCATCCCTGCTGTAGGTCACTCTGTACACGAGGACAGGCTCGGTTGCTGTTTTAGCTGTTAAGAGGGAGCATGACATAAAAATACATGTACACTCAAGATTATCTTACACGTTTGCAAAAACATAATCAACAAAACCAGTATTCCAATTCAAGTCGTTGCAAAAAGGCAACCTCAAATATAGAAAGAAATTTACAAAATGCTCCAAAATTTATAAATAATAATACAGAAAATAAATAAAATAAACATTTTCAAATCCACAAACACCAATACCATCAAGTGCTTTAGTTAGTTAACAAATAAGACCAACAGTTCCAGGTTTCACATCAAATTAAAATGGCTCTTAGTTAAACCAGAGTGATTATGACTTTCAAATAATTCTGTAATTAGTAAAATATACACCAGTATAGTGCAAAAAACAAACTTGTAACAATGTTTTCTTGCATGCATGTCATCTGTATATACAGTATGTCTGTAAGTAAGAGATTTGCTTTAAGTGAGTGAAGTGGTTCTCAGTAATGGGGATGTGTGGTACATTATTGGGTTTACTTTCGGTGTGAGCTGTTGCCAGTAAAGCGTGTGCCTCTGTGTGTGTGTACTGTATGTGGTTGAGGGCAGTCGAAGGAATGTGATGGGAACACGAAGTTGAAGCTGTGGCTTCCAGAACATCTGCTGGCCGCAGAAATGATGGATGCTAACCCTCACTTTCTCCCAGAGGACATTCACACTTCTCTTCCTCTCTCACTCCACTTCTTCTCGTCTTTCCTCCTGTGACCCATTCGTACCTTCACCCTCTCTTCCTTCCTGCCTCACTGCTTCCATTGTGGACACTCCTTCCCTATCTCTTCTCAATATGCATTATTACCTCTGCTCATATTCCTCCTCAACTCTGCTCCTCCCTCTGTTTTCTTCTCCTTCACCTCTCCTATCTTTCCATCCTTCCTTCTAAGCCATAAAACAATAAGTCTTGAATGTCTGTGAGGAGACTGTGCTAATGGAGCCCATTAGACTGTAATGAAATATACATTACACCATTACAGAGGACGGGGCCTGGCTAAAGCACTGCACCGCTCAAATAATAAAACATGTACAATTCAATTTCCTTCTCGGCCCGTTTTGAGTGTCTTCCAGTGTGTGTGTGTGTAGAGATGGAGGGTTGACGGGATAAGGTATACAGCGTGTGTGCCTGTGTGTTTTCTCATGTGCAACCCCTCCAGCGCAGATGTGGTTTTCAAGGATGCCTGAGTGTTGAGAGCCTAGATGATTTAATATGGGTTGACCAAATGAACCACACCTTCTGCACCACCACCACCCTGACCATGGTCTGACCACTCAAAAAACCCACCCTCCCCCAGCCACCTTTATATTCTCCCTTCCCCCGGCACCACAGTCTTATGGCTGTTGGACAGATGTGGACAAGTGGATCAATTGACCTCCGCCACATGCTCTTGACATCAGAAGTGAAGCATCTGTCACTTTAGGGGGTCAATAGTGTGAATCATCATATTACCCTGTGCTGTATGACTGTGCAGTTCAGGCCCGTGTAAAGTAAGAAGCGTCAGAAAAGAGTGGTGAAATGCAGCTATGAATGCACACATTCACAAATTCAGAGTAGAATCCTTTACTTTGCTGAATTACTCCACATCTGTCCTCCAGTTGGTGCTGTGCTGTCACTGATTATTTGTTTGTGTCAGCAGAAGTGACCAACATGAAATCCCCTTTTTCGTCGAACCCCCAAATTGTATCCCGCAGGCAGCGAAGCAGTGTTTCTTTTTGTTTCTCCCCAATTTTCTGACCCTTTTGTGTTTCAACCAATTGATCAAAGGTGTATTGGTGTCTTAATCATCACCTATGTGTGTTGGATGCTGACAGGTAAATTCATGTTGTGTTCTAAGAGACAGACAGAAAGAAATATAGCCATACCGAGTGAAAGGGGAAAACACAGTGTCTCCATGGCTCCATATTTCACAGAGCCATTTTCTCCGAAAGACCACACCAGTCTCATATTTACACATAAAATATCAGCGCTTCTGGACATTTTGCCCTTGATGCATCTCTTTAAGCTAAAAGTCCTGTATTCAAACAGGCAGCCAAGGGGAAAATATTTCAATCAAATTTCTTTTAATCAAGTTTTTTTTTTTAATCAATTTAGCTCCACCAATTTTAAAGCATTTGAAAAGAAGTAAGAGGATTTTTCCCCCCACTCTTCATAAAAGTCTCTTCGGTATGGAAGAAGGGAGGGAGTTGGGATGCACAAAGGAGAGGAAATTGGCTGGGAGGAAAGAGATGATTGGGGATGAGTTGAAGAATTTTTTTTGATTGCCTCGAAGAGAGCTTCGTATCCTGTAGAGCGGCACCTTCAAGCACACACACCTGCAGGAGCACCCCGCACTTCAATCAGAGGTGTCAAAATATCCGTTGCGAGCTCACACACACACACACACACACATGCATGCAACTTTAAATGCACATTCACACCTGGATGTATTCCCACCTTTATGCACGTACAAATCAAAAACACACACGCATCCAAAACTCTTCTTCCTCATACTTCTGTGTTCAGCCCAGTATGTCCAGGTATACAGGAGAGGCTTTGGCCAGGTTCAGGAGCAGGCCGTGGATTTCTTTTATGTTGAGTCTCATGTGTGGCTCTCTTTGCCAACATCCCAGCATCAGATCATACACTTCTTTTGGGCAGGTCCTGGGGCGCTGCAGCACTCTGCCTTGAGTTATACACTCTATGACCTAGAGCGGATGAAACAAAGAGCAAGGAATACAGACGTCACCTTTAAATCAGTAGACTATCGCCTTTGTGGCAGAATTCTCCACTTTCCATGTTCGCAAAGTTCAGTGAAGATGATGGAGTCTCTACCCTGTGAAGCCGCGTAGCCCTACCGCAGCGGCATAGAGTGGAAATGTCACGATGAATAAATTATTTACCAAACTCCTGAAGTAAAACCGAGTAATATTCATCCATAACAGTCTGATGCATTGCACAGTGGCCGTGTGAGAGACTAAAATTTACATTTGATGGCATATTATGTGCATTTTATTTAGCATTTCAGAGTGCATGAAGTCCTTCGTGCTCATTTGTAGAATTTAATTTTTTTTCAGTTTAATATTCAAAACAACAGTAGAGATGAATGTAAGAAACTAACGTACGTTTAAGTTTGCCTCAATTAATGAACAATTAATTCCTTTTGGCAACTATTTGAAAAAAAAAATTGTTGGCCTTGAATGTAATTAATATTGTGATCATTTCTTCAAACATGAAAAACACACGCTGTGTTCATAGAATGAATACCAAATATAATGACTCTTATTAAGCCTCCAGTGCCAGCTGTGTCTTACAAATTGCTACATATCAAGGATCCAATCTGTGAGAGAGATCTCATTTTGGCAAGCAATCAGCCACCTACTCCTCCTCATTGCCTGATTGCTATCAGTTTGCCCAAGTAGATAAGTAATTGATATCCTATGTTGGAATAGAACTCCTTGTCCTGTGTAAGAGATATTTGAGCATCAGATTTGGGTCGGGAGGTGAGTGACCTGTGAAGCAGCAGATAACTGATAAGTGTGCACAGGAAAATAAGACTGTGTCCGGGACTAAAGGTTAATTCTTCGATGTAACCAGAGTTGAGGACATCTTTGGGTTGGTGAAGTCAGAGTTTAGGTTAATGGTTTAAATGCACAGCCGCGATGATGTTTTCAAGAAGACTAGTCCAGATTTTTTTACTTCCTGTTTTCTTTTTGCCTTGTTATTGAAAAAAATCCTTGGTTTAACTCAAGGCCATATTTCAAACAGTAGATCAAACAAAGCTTATGTTGGGATCCTAATGTGATCTTCCAGTTGATTTGTTTTGGGTCACTAATGTGTTAAACCCTGTACATTCCCACTTGCCATTTTCCAGCCCGTCACTGAATCATTTGAGAACATCTGCTGAGAATTTATTTTCCTTCTTCTTTCAGAGGTCATGGCATTGGCTTAGTGCACAGGATTGTCTTATAGATAGTGATATTTGTGAATGGCTTGCAACAAATCTTTCTTTGTAAATCTTTATGCCCATGACTTGGAAATATTAATCTTGCACAACTATAACACGTTCAAAAACGGTACAATGTAGATTTGAGATACTCTCAAACCAGAGAGCTGATTTTAACGCACATCCAACTTACTATATACCTCTCCCTATCCAACTTTATAGCCATTCATGGTTTGTTAACTTTTCCAATGGTGTGTTTAGATGTTGAGTTTAAAAGTTCAGATTCAATCTCTGTTATGTACCTCATTATTGGAGAGCTGGTACCAAGGCTGTTTTCCATAGGTGAAGATCTCCCAGAGAACAACTCCTAGACTCCAAACGTCACTTTCCGTTGTGAACTTCCTGTACATTATGCTTTCAGGGGGCATCCAGCGGATGGGCAACATGGTATGGCCACCAACCTTTAAAAACACACAAAAAGATGCATACACAAAGAAAGTTAACGTTGTGTACTTTAAACAGATTGCATAATCATTTGTTTGGCGGTAAGGGATCTTTGATTCCTATCTGAGTTTTTTTTTTCCAGTTCATTTTTTCAGTTCATTTTATTTGTCTGGCTATAAAGCTTTTCACATTTCTCTCTCACAGGAATTTAATACATTTTAAAGCAGTGCAGTGACATTTTACTCCATTCTGCTCCATAACTGCTGCTTGAGGCCATTCAGTGAGTGAAGTTTGATGGTTTGGTGCTGCAAATTGCATCATCTATGTGGGTATGGAATGCCCCATCCAGTAATTTGGTGTGGTTGAAGGGTACACTGGTGAGAAAGCAAAGCTACATACAGTGTCCCTGGTTGCTGGTTGTCCCAAAATAACCAGCATACATACTGTGCTGAGGCCATGCGCAAACCTCTCATCTCTGTATGGGAAGAGTACACTTGTGACTTGTAGGAATACAATTTCATTAATAAAATAATGACTCAATCTGATGTAAACTAGTGAGATATCAGATTAGAGAAATGATGAGCTGATCTCACACAGGAACCCACAGGCACTTTGACTGACAGCAGGTCATTTCATTAGGCTCTAATCAGAACTCAAAAAGTGACGCCTGTAAAACATTCTTTTTCATCGTTCATTAACTGACTGTTTATTTCACTCGAGACTGTCACAGACGAGCTTGAACGAGTTCAGCATAACAGAAAAGTGAGCTTTTAATGCTCTGCCAGTTAAAGGGTATTTGAACACCTTTGTCAGCACATCAAGTGAATTTCAGCCACAAATAGAACAAACAGCTCCTCCATTAATGTTTCCTCTTTGAAAATAGTCTTGTTAAGAATTTATAGATCATATTGGTCAGAACTAAGTCGTTTGATCCAGTAATAAAATGTTTAAGATTTCTAAATAAAATCATTGGTACTGTCAGAGCCAATATTTCAAAGTAGAACATTAATTAAAGACGCAAACACGTTAATCTCTGTGGAGGTTGAGGTCTGCATGATGGGGAGTTAATCTGTCCTCAGTTTATACAAATCACAACTGGATAACACCATCTGATACACTTAGAATAAATCAGCCTGTTAAGCAGGCTTTTGAGGCAGCAACAATAATGTAAACTGCTTAACATAGGTTCTGCTGTTTGTAAATCCATCACTGTCTCTCTGCCTGTATATTGCATACATATGCATACTGACACACAGTATACTGAGTACTCCACACGAGTGAGTTAATTATACATGCGGACACAATCGATTCAAGAGACCATTTCATACACCTTGTAGGGCCCTAGCCAGTGTGCAAACTGCTCACACAGAAATATGCTCGGCGTAATTCTTTTAGATGGTTAATAGCTGGCGTTAGAAAGTGAATTCCTGTGAATTTCTGTCTACTTAACATGATAAAGATCCATCAGATGTTTATGAGCATTGGTTTGCATGTAAAGGTTTGGGCTGCTGTTGGCTGTCATTTATCGATCATCGCGGTTGTTGTTTTTGGAAAGCTTGTCTTACTCTAAACTCTTCAGCGCCGAAAAACCCTTGGGACCCCACTCCTAACCCAAACTCTTTATTCCTCTAATGCTAAGTGTGCTGATGTTTCCCATCATGCACCTCCCTCCCCCCCCTCTGCCTGTTACTCCTCTTCCAAAAGTGAATCTGCACTCTATTGCCCTGCACAGATAGCACACTCCATTTTCTGAGGTTTCTGCCTGTTATTAATGGCCTTGAACTCACACTTTGCCTGTTTCGATGTTAGTCAGTTGGTTATTTAATGGAGTCGTAAAATGTGCGCGGCCACATAGATAGCCATCAGAGTCATTTTTACGTTTGTGGAAACATATCTGCCTCCATCTCTACGGCTCTTACTCTTTGTATTCTTCATGTCCCACTTGTCTGTTATTCAAAACACAACACAGTGTAATAATGAATAATGAATAATTGAGGTTGAAAAAAACTATACAGGCTTTGGAATGTTAAGTCCAACATATTACTAAGGTTAATTACAATAGACTGTACGCTGGGAAACAAACTGTACCAAGCTGTAGAGTTTGTTAATAGTGTGTCTTGCGTGACAGATTAGGAACATATGTTATATAAACTAGTTCAGATTAAAATTGTATAAAAATATACAATATTTCAGGAGGGCCACCATGTAATGTTACAGGAAAGCCTTAAAAAAAAATCAAATAAAACAGAGCACAGATGTGAGCTCTTTGACCTTCTAATGTCATGGTATCCGTGGCAACTGCACTGATAAGAGCACTATGGGATGTAATGCAGGTGGATATTATGTGACAGACTCCACTGTCTCTTTCTTCCTTGAAAAAATGTATCTTTATAGCGAACTGTGTTGCTATGGAAATAAATACAATGATTATCAAAATGCTGGCATCTGCAGCGTCACTGGAAAGTTTCCAGAGCCTATTCCCATTTTGTCATTTTTCATACCTAATCAAAAACTTGCAATGCCTTTGTGAGTTTGAATTAGATCCAGCCTTTGTAGACAGGAACCTTATAGAGGGACAGCTGTCAGATCTGCACTTGCCCCATCTGTTGCAAATCTGTCCAAAAGTACCTTAAAGCAAGACAATAATTTTTCTAATAAAAACATATCAAACTATCAGGTCACATTTCCCGTTGGTGTTTGAGTGGAAACAAGGCCAAGAGCACCAAATCAGTAACACAATCTCAAGCATCAAACACTGTGATGACAGATTCATTCATAGGTTGCGATTTTCTCCAAAACACATGAAAAACAGGACTGTTAGAAAAAATTAAGGAATGCTGAGTTAAAATGTTCCCACGGCGTTCTTGATTTCAGATTGGGAAGTTCCCCTTTTTATTATGGGAATAATCCAAAACATTCGTCAAAATAGCCACAAGGAAATCAGTGATATAACAAAAGATGCTATTGTTTTGCTAATATGAACTAATACATATGGCCAGAGACATGGAAGGCAAATTAGAAAACATTCTAGGTCCAACCCTGTCCACGTTTGACAGGTTTCATATTAAAAAAGTATCAGGTTTTCCTAATGATTACAATTTTCAATTAATTTCTTCCATAAATAAAAAAATTGCCATTAGCCAGAACGACTTTCTTTAATTAGAGGAGTAGTGGTCCTGCGGTAAACAATTTCACAACTGGATCAATTCTCGGTGTCAAAACCACTCAGCCAGTTAAGTATCCATTTGTAAGTCTCATTTCTGACAACAAGAAAACCAAGATGATAGAGACCAAATATTTAACTCCAGGTTACAAAACATGGTTACATGATTAATATATATATATATATATATATATATATATATATATATATATATATATAAATGACTATGGCATATTAGCTTGTGCTACTCTTAATCTTTGCTAAGCATTGTGGGTCATTGTTGAACTCCTCAACATTGTTGAACTCCTCCTTTCCCCTACACTTTGGAGCTTAAATAATTTCGGGGATAAAATACTCTAGTGCACAGAGCGTGTCTTGACCCCTCACGACTCCAGCCACACACACTAAAAAACAGCTGTATGGCAAGGCTCAAAGTTTGATTCGAGTCCTCGTATGTGTCTTCTGAGGCCCATTCAGGTTCATTGTGTAACTGGGGATTCGATGACGTCATTGCAGCCCCTTCAGTTCATCGCCTCTGCTTCTATTTCCATAAGCACACACACACAAACACACACACACACACACACGCATATGTGCAGAGAGGTGGGGGGTGTGCTCCAATTCCTCTATGACTCATCTTTGCTCCCGTCTGACGCAAAAGCGTGACTGGGTCCCCACATTCTACACCTTCCCACGCACACACGCACACACACACACACACCGCTGTCTCCCCTGGATGCTGAAAACATGGCCACCATCCTGTAGCTCTTTTTTGTTGTGGTGTTTTTCTCCTGTCAGATTCTGTGTATTCATTTAGTCAGTTCTAGCTGTTTCTGATGTCCTCACTGTGCCCGTATAAACCTACATCTCCTGCATTGTTTGTTTCTTCGCACGGGATTCTGAAGCTCCACAGACTGCCATGGCTTCACATTTTTCATTTCCCTCCTATGCTCTGCTATTACTGGCTTTTCTCTTCTTTGATATATTTGCTGTGTTATTTTCTCCCTGCCTGGCATTCCACTTCTGTTCCTCCTCTTTTCTCTTCTCCTGCTGCTCCCCCATCTCTTTTCTTCCTTTCATCTTTTTGCCACCATCCTGCCTCCATCTCTTCCCGTTCTCCCTCTCTCTTTCTCCACTACTGCCTCAGCATACTAAACAGAAGTTGTCTGATTACTTTTCTTCTTGTGAAACGTTGGATTCAACTCCGAGGCTCACCGCCACTGCCTTCTGCCGTTGCCATGGCTACAGCCTCAGCACTTAGCTTTATTGAGGAGGGGTGAAAGGAAGGAGGAGGAGGGCGAGCTGGGAGGTTGTTGTGTGTCGTCACACAGAGACGGTACATAAAAAAAGCCACTGAGGGGGCACATTAATCTTTTTATATTTTTCTTATTTGCCAAATACAACCAGTTCTACTAAATTAAATCTCAAAAGTGTGGTTGTGTGTATCATCTGCTTTTGCCGTTTTGTATACGACGGCTTCACTCTGAGCCTGTAAATCAAGTCTTGTTGGTAAGGTAAGCTGAATGTAATTTACAGTAAGATAGTAAAACATGTTTACTACAAGACACATATTTGAACTTTTATTCTGTTTTTGCGCCAGTCTCCATGCTCTCAGATTGTAATATCTAATTTCTTCTTAAAACATATGGGTTGTTGCAGTGATGTACACGTAGTAAAAATTTTAACTTAGTGGCACCAAGAAAATGAAACAGGCTGTAAATGTCTTGTGATGCAAGTATGTGGGGCACAACTCTGCATTCAGCGTTAGACCTGCTATTACGTCATCATGGAACTCATCAGTCAGTGTCATTACTGCATAATTCATCCATCAAATGTCCTGTAGATGATTATCTTTATGGCTGTCATTGTTAAAGTCATTATTTATGCCAGATAGAGATTTTTCTTGTCACTAAATGACTGCTGTTCCCTCCTTCCCTCCCCCACCCATCTCCTCTGAGTTATTTGTCACTGTCAGTCATGTCAGTGTGTCACAGAGGGCTGGAAAAATGGACAGTCGCTATCGATCAGCCAGTATAATTTATTAGGAGTTTACGGTCTGGCCTTTTTAGGAAAGGTAGATGATTTCTGGACAGCAGTAATAAATAGATACAAATTCAAACCTCTAAGCTGAGTGTTGGTCCTCCTTTACTTTTAGCTAATATTGCTTAGAAGTATCATGCTTAGACTCAAAATGTAAGTTTTTAGCATTTACAATTACAGCATTAGCACATTATTTAAAAGCTTTCAACACAATCGTTTTCTAAGGAGATTCAACACAATTCATGACCGTATTTGCCGACACAAGTTCAGCAAGTTAAGAAGTCTCAGACAAGACATCATTGTGGGCCTTTACTATCATTTGTGGTGTATTATGTAAACACATTTTTAGACTGTCATTTTGTTGAGCCTGATAATGCTGAAATAACCACAAATAGGAAAACAGCCCTGTCAGTAATGTAGCTATGGGTGTGTGTGTGTCCAGGGAGCAAATAACTAATTCTGATACATTTTGTGAGATAAGTGAACCTACCAAAGCGATTGTCTTACTGTCAGTGGACTCCATAGTCATGCCCATGCAGAGGAAGGGAGGCAGCGGGTTCCATGCAGCAGGGGAAAAGGGAGCTAGAAGCTAGAAAGAGGGTGAGAAAAAAAATATCGACACATACACCTACCCTGTAGTAGTCAGTGCTGTACACGTCTCTGGACATGCCAAAGTCCCCAATCTTCACAAGCAGGTTCTCACCCACCAAGCAGTTCCTTTCAGACAAGAATAAAAAAAAAAGGTGAGAGCAGAACAATGGCAGCATGGTGTTGTAAAATTAGATGAGAAAGTTTCCCAGAATTCTGATGGCATAGTTTGATGCTGAACTCAAACCTTGTGTCTTACAGGTATTCATCCAGACATTCATTACTGTGGCAGATAACTATGTGGCAGATATTTGCTCTGTTGCAAATTACTGATTCCTCTGATGGCTCTTAACTTCAGCTAATATTATTTCCCGCTTGCATTGCTTGTCATCAAACTGAAGCTTTGGATGGGAGTTGATTAGAATTCTGTTTTTTACATTTTCTGCTATGTCCAATTTACAGACTTTATCTTTTCTTCACACCTGAGGCAAAATGAAATTCCCCAAAATAATAAGGCAGTGAGTGACACACCGGGTGGCCAAGTCACGATGCACAAAGTGCTGTGATGCAAGGTAGACCATGCCAGACGCTATCTGCTGGGCAATGTGCAGCATCTGAGACTGGGTCAGCTCCACAGGCCGGGTGGTTTGGCCCTCTGCCATCAGAACTGCATCTGGACCATGAGCCCTGCGAGGGAAGAGATAGAAGGCTCTCAGACTTCATCTTCGCTTTTAGCTTTGTATCAGAAGCGCAAACAACTGCATGGCTCTCAATGTTTGTCCGTCGAAGAGACATGCCTGAGGAACTTGTTCAGGTCTCCGTGTTTCATGTACTCAAACACCATGATGAGGGGGTCGCTCTCCACACACACTCCGTAGAAAGTGACGATGTGCTCGTGCTGCAGGTTGGTCAGCAGCTCGGCCTCGCGGTGGAAATCTTTCCTGGCGTTTTCGCTGGCCTCTTTGAGTGTCTGCAAACACACACACACCGTCACACATCATTCTAATGACGTGACAAATGACAAACTCACACATTATGCAGCGTGCACTATAGCCAATTAGTCATTTTCAGAGTGGATTCAGTCACATCTAATTTATGTGGCTGATGTAAACTATGGAAAATATGTCTTGCCTTGTAAAAGTGAGTTACAGCTGCTTCGTTTACATACACATTGTGAAATTACTGGCACAGAGGAAAGGCCCACTCAGTGGCGTAGCAGACAAAAGAGGGGGTTGGGGGCGCATGTTACAGTAATGTAAGCCATTACAAAGCACAGCACTGTTTACATTTATCATATTCCCTGGCTCCCTTCTAAACTTATCTTTGTCTTCCTTCTAGGAATAAGGAAATCTGTCAGGAAGGATGTGTAACACAAGGATTAGTGTCAGGGAAGGAAAAAAAAAAGTGAATGTGTGTGTGTGTGTGTCGGTTTGTGTATGAGAAAAAATACATAGTTGCAGGAAATGGATGTGATATTGACTCTGTATTAATATCACTTCTAAAGGCCAAAATATAGACAATTTATTGTGTCCCGTATGAATAATTGATTGTCTTCCTACAGTGAATGACATGGATATATACGTGTGCTATCCACCTTATACATGTGAGGAATACATGTCCGTCTATACAGAAATACCACATATGAGCTCCTATTACAAATGCAAGTCTTCCGGACAAGGAGTAGCAAGGAATATGTAAGTGACCTGTGACCTTTAATTCAGAATGCTGAAACACCAGAAAATGAGACTGAGTGCAACTCCATCCACCCATTCGGCCAGTCATGTATCAGGAAAAGGGAGACTCTGCCATTTACATTATAGACTGCAATATGATACTGCATGAGGAGGATAAAGAAGACTGTTACAGTGCAGATATAGTATGAAAGCCTTTGGTCCAACTTTTGTTTGAATGCTATGGCAATCAAAAATAGGAACAAAAGTCCAAAAAAGAGCTCCTTCATTTTAGGATTGAACCACATTGCACAAGGCTACTTTTAACCGTGATACATACTTGATTAAGATTGTTTCTTAGAGATTAAAATGGGGGTTTTCACATTGCACCTTTGTTTAATACAGTACAGATTTCTCTGGAGGCAATCAACTAATTATTAGTAAGGCACATTAATGCTGAATTCAGGAGTGTTGCAGTGAACACCGCTCTGAGCAAGACCCATTTGTCAGACAACTATAAGGCTCTGATGGTCTGACCTCAAAGCTGAATTAATTCCCAGGTCAAAAGCTCTAATATTACATAGTTAGTCATCCAGTCTCAGGGCTTTTAGGGCTTTAGACAAACACAAAACAAAAAAGCCTCTAGCTCATAGCACTGACTCATTTACGGATGCTACAATATTGAACGCTCATGGTGCTGATGATTAAGGAGATGCGGGAATGGTAAAATGTTGTGTATATGTGGAGGTACACCTCTTTTTATGGGTGTGTACTTGTTAGTGCATTTTGAGCAATGGAACCTCAGTGTTTAATATACAGTAACAGCTTGTATGTAATGGACGACTGGGTGATGGATGGCTGACTCTGAGACCAAGATCCTTAAGCCTTCTTATTGAGTGCAGGCTGTGTAATAGGCCCTACAATCAAGAACATAGTCCAGTAATGTAGGATCCACGACAGATGTCGATATAAATACGACATGATATATGTCAGCTCAGGGTGGCAGTGGGTACGGGCATTGTGCAGGTTGTCTGCTCATACACTGACATCTTTTGTGAGTGCTCTACAGTGAGTAGAAAGTCTGTTTATTTGCATCATCCTGAGATATCATTGGTTCTTTTATCTTATTGTAGCTTGCTGGGAAAGCATCGTATTGCTCATTTCAAATATTTCTTTCAATCAACAAACAGGCATCTTCTTTTGGTAAATGAAGAAAACAAGAATGTGTGTATTGTGATACAAGCAGGTCAACACCATCCTAAGTCAGAGAAAGATTAGATGCCAGCATGAAAAATTATGAATTTGAAAGTTCTTAAAGGTTTTTGTTACCTTTGTAGCCCATTTCAGGGCTACAAAGTTTTAACAATAAAGCTTTTACTAATTTGTAATCTTGCCAGGATATCCTGCTATTATGGAGACCATGTAGTGAAGTATTTCAGATGTTATGTTTCAGGGGTCAGCCCTGTTGCGAAATTCTTTCCTCAACAGGGCTGAATTTCTCTGTGGTGGTAAGGACTGCTGGCCAGAACACGTATCCCCTTCTTTCACAATCATGCCTTTGTAATGTCAACATGTTTTGTGTTGTGTTCTGTCTTACTGAAAAGAGAAAATAGAATCTTAAAGGCGAAATATGTAAAAGAGGCATAACTTGCTTGAATTCTGCATTAATGCAGTCATAACAAAACTCTGCAGAAAACTCTTATATAAACCCATACAATTACAGAACCTGGTTTTAGGACTTGTTTTTGATGCAATATAAAAAAATAATAAATCAAAGAAAATGTTGTTTCAACTGGACATTTCAATAACTTTTTTTTTTATTAGGGTATAAAATAATCAAGATTAGTTTAGAGCTAAATCAGACACACAAAAAACTTTTCTCCGCACAGCCGCACAGCAAAGACAGTTTGTGAGCTTATTTAAGTCCTAAGATTTGATATACAGCCTGCATGAGTTTTTGTTTTACAAGATTTTTAGGTGAATATTATGCAGAGCATTCAGACTGAGCTTAATCTAAGCTGGCAGCATGTATCAGCAGGGGGTTTGGAGCTAAACTAGAGGGAAACAGGAAGTCCAAGAACAGAAAAACAGGGATGCAGGATTTGAGAGGGGGCATGGAGCCAGAATGATGAGTCAGAGGAAAGACAGAAAGTACTCCAGGTGAAAAAACCGGAGGTGTGGACAGAGGATGTAGGGGGAGAAAAGAGGAAGAGTAGGGGGGTGGTCTGTCACAGGTCATATATTGTTAATGAAGAGATCTTAACCATTCAGATCCTGTTTCACTGCTGAGCAGAGGAGTGTGAGTGGCCTTGATGGGAGATAGATGTGCCAGGAGGATGCTCCCTGGGAAGCCTTTCAGTGTGATCCCGGAAGTCAGCGGTTTTTAAATGAAATCCCACCTTACCTCTAAAAGTCAAACCCTACTGTTACAAATGACTTTGAACCATCATATTAGAATAACTTTCTCCCCTTAACAGAAAAAATGGGGGCAAATAAAGATTGCTAATACTGTACTGACACCATGTCAATAATTATATTTCTAATGGCAAGTATCTATTTCAGTAACATAATATCATTTGCTGTACACTGTTCAATATTTTGAATGTATTTCAGGTATCAGATGAAAATTACGAAGGTTATGGAAAAGGTAATAATTTCACCTCCAATAACATCAATAAACCTTTGCCATAAAGTCACTAATCTGAGTCTCAGGGATCAGGACCTTAACAGAAAACATCCATCCATTTTCTATAACCGCTTCATCCAAGTACTCACTCTTACTACTAGTGTTGAATTGAATCATTCTTAATCTAAACTCTTACTGTCTTAACAAAAATGTATTCAGTAAGTAAATTACAAGTTAATTCATAATGACAATACACCTATCATAGTCTTGTCTCTGGTTCATACAGGCTTTAATAACAAAATCAAATTAATGTCTGTCTCATTTTCTCAATCTAATTGTTGTCATTTAACGTGACTTTTTTAATGTGTTCATTGGGGAATGTTTGGAATTCCAAATTACCTTAACTGCCACCAGTATCTTCTCCTGGTCCGGTGTGAGGTTGTAACACTCCGCCAGGAAGACTTTTCCAAAAGCTCCTTCCCCAAGCTCTCTTTTCAGCACAATATTGTGCCTCTTAATATGCTGCACAACTGAAAAAAGAAAGCACTTCAATTACAGCCATTTTGATTAAGAAACACTGCAGATTAGATTATCTTAAAAGCATGAATATATAAACCAAATGTACATGGATAATAACATGAAGCCTGATGTGACAATTACACCAAACAGAATTTTGTCATCAATCTTTGTTATAATTAATCCATGTAATTTTAGAACGTCAAAGCATAATGAAACAATAGTAATGATTTTAAATTACTGCTAAAGTGATACATTTATATGCCATACATCCTCTGCTAAAACCTTTTAAACACACCCTAACCTGCCAAATGCAGACTTTCTTTTCACTTCTTTATCTTTTCCACTGTTATCCAAAGAGTTTCAGCATTTTACGCTTCTGCCAGCCACCGGTATCTTTTCAACAGGGTTTCTGACTAAAGTGAAGCTTGAATGTTGCTTTTGGTTTTTACATGATCTCCTAAATAACTATTGTAGAAATTAATCTAATCTTTTTTCCTCCATATTTTTCCTGAACAATATAACGGTTATAACATGTTAGGATGTGTTTTATATTTTTTTCCATCTCCTTTGGAGAAGTGAACGTTCCTTTTTGCTTACAGCAGTGTGCTGGTTGCTGCTGTGCACAGCGTGAATGTAGTTCCGCTTCTGTCCTTGTCCTTCTTTCATATCACACAGGAAGGCCATTATCATAAATCCCTGGAATGAGGGTGTAATTAACCTTGCTTCTTTTATCTTGGATTTTCTCAGTGTATTACACAGTAATGATAAGGTACGAGAGCTGTTATATAAAGTGTGGGCATAGCTGTTAGAAACACATATACAAAACATTACTGTTGTCACCAGTGCTATAAAACAATTGTACCCAAAAATAGTTCAGTTAGATTATTTTTATTTTCCTCCTCAATATCATGCTTCCATTCCATTGTTTCTGTTAGTTTAGTCATTTTTAAGTCAAGTTAAAATTAAAAGAGCTGTTCACATTTAACCATACATTTCAACCTTGTTGAACGTAGGCAGTTTTGCTACTGACTTTTCTCCTTTTTGTGGTATATAGTATCTTTTCACTGCATCAGTGCTATGAAAATGCATATTTTTTAACACTGAAGCGAATTCACTGACTCAGTAGTTTTGTCTTACATGGTTGATGTTCTTCAGTTTATCATTTGGATGCAAATCCAGAAACACACCTTGTTGCACACACATAATCTCATTTTAGTGTCCCACAGTTGGATCAGAGTTGATAACCCTGCTTAATGTTGCATGGATAGTAATTCAGGACTCTGTACCTCCAGATTTTTGGAAAATTTTGGCTTCTCACCATGTTTGGAACACAAGGTTTATTCCCACAGAATGATTAAGAGTGGCGTCATAACATTAAGTTAAGCCTTGCCTTTTGATTATGGGCCAGAAACCAATTTTTCTGCGTACAGGGAAACACAATGTGATGCATGTACGTGGGAACACCTTTAAACACATGCACATACACACACACACACACTCACGTACACAATGAGGACACCGGGAGCTGAGATTTATGCGTGATGTGATTAAGAGGTGCATTGGAAGAAAAGCTGTCCACTCAGAATATCAGATTAAAGAAGCAGCAGCATCGATCCACACTGTAAGTCACAGAGGTCCACCATAACCCAATATTGGAGCAGCAGGCACAGAGACAGGGAGGGGGAATTTGAGATAAACACAGTGTGTTTATATGAGATATTAAGCTACATCTAATTTCTATCTGATGAAATGTAAATGTCTGCAGTGCAATAGGTTATTTGTGTGACCTGGTCCCAAAAACCAGTGGTTGAGGGAAGTACCAAAGATTCTAAATCTAAAAAAAAAAATCTATTTTCCTTTGTTGATCTAATTAAAGATTTGACAAAGAGTGTTAAAGAGTGACTTAGATATGCTGTGCCTAGCCGAATCAGCAGCAGCATCAGTCAAAGCCAGTTTTGCTACATGGCCTGAAAAAATGTTTTGACATGCACCTGTGCTCATTTTTGAGTCACTGGTTGGGTGACGATATGTGATTGCTGTGTTTAGACTCTTTTGATTCTTTCCGGATTTCGGATTGTAAATGTTTAGTTAATTTTCATTTGATATAGAAATAATTATTCAATTCCATATTTATTCCATTTTATTGTGTTTTCTATGCAACATTTTCTTGTAAAAATTTAATAATTCCATATATTACATTTAATTCCATGTAAAACTTCCATCAGGCTTGGAAAGGTGTGTGCTGTAGTTCAGTTGCTGATAAACCAAAGTTGGCACCAAAAGACTGTGCAAAAGATATGACATTTCGAAATTTATTTGAAGGTATGGCCTCACTGTGACAATGTAATCGAAGCCCATTCTGTTTAGTCATTGGTGACTTCAAGTGTGATGCCACGATGGCTAAAAGTCAAGAAGTTTGTATTCATCATCTTTTTGTTATTCTTGCATTCAGGCAGCATTTTAAAGATAGCAGGAACAAGTCAAATCACCCTCGATTCTCCAGGCAGCATAAACCCATGGCTCCAAAAGACAACTACCCGCCATTCAACCAGCTAATTACCTCACTGTACATTTCCTACTGAGGTTGTATAATAAGTGCTCAAACACTGTGAAAATGCCTTGCACCACTCCTCCTTAATTAACACCCTCAAATAGCAAATAAATTGATGTGTGCAGACCAATGTTTCTCCTTTGCATTTCCCCCCTTTTGGTAAGAAGATGTACTGTCCCTTAAAGAATTTCCCTCTGTTTCTGTATTTCTTTTCTCTTTTTTCTCTTTATTTCTCTTTTTTAATTAGACGATTAATGTGGCATTTTCTATGTTAGATTACACAATCTAACTGCTGCACGTGGGAATAAAGCTTTGCTTGCTTTCATTATGAAGATGCATCTCTACATGCGGGGCAACACATCATCTATTTCTCTGCATTCAGTAGCCTTAATTAACATTTTTCATTTACCAAATTTCACAAGTTTATTCTCTGATGATTTCCCTAATTAATACTTTTTTCTCCTATTTTTCAGCGTCCATTCATTCATTCACATTACTTTACTCCCATGTTCTTTGTTTATCTCTCTGCTCCATTATTCATCTTATCTGTCACAATTTTCATTTGACAAACTAAAGATCCTCCAACAAAAGTTATTTCCTCATTCTGTTGCATCATTCAACAGTTGTTTATGACACACTGAAAGCCAGTGAAGTAATATTGTCCACCAAATACCTCCTCTTGTGTCCTTTACCATTCTTATTAATTCAGATCTCTCTGCATTTCCCAGTAGAACCACCCCTTTGCACACCTAGAGTACCATGAATTCTACAATTTTGTGTAAGGCTATGTTTTAAACAACTTAGCTTTTTAAAATAATCTACAGAATTGGTTATTGATTGGTAAATTAGACAACTTTGGTTGAAAAAATTGCTAAATTTCAATCTTCCAGGTAATTTAGTGGGGCATCTAGATTATCATCAGGGAGAATAGAATTTGGTTGTAATGTGCCTGAGTTCTTTTAACACACTCACAAATTCAGTGGTTACACATATGGAAATACAGAATGGTAAACACAATAGCTACAGCCTCTGTAAATATTTTACTATAAATGTTCAATAATACATAGACCATGCTCTCCATCAGCCTATCAAGCATCTGATGTTATTATCTTTAATGAGGTGTTTACTAGTTGCATAACTGAACCTGTGCAGCAGACTTAACATTTCCCGTGATTACATGCAGATCCATTATGTCTGCATTTTAATTGCTGCTGCCAGGAAGAGGCCTGTGCAATCGTTTAAGACGACACATACTCACAAGTGAAGAGATAAGCTGGATAAAATTAGGATTTCATAAAGCAACTCAGTGTCACTTTGTGAAACTGTCTCTATCAAAGGCTACTGCCCTGGTCTGACAGGGTGAGACTGTCAAATAACGGCTCACATATCTTTAGTATTTATGCCACCTGTCTGCAAGTAAAGATTCATACATGGTAATCATTGTAATGACTGTAATATTTTAAAAAATACACATGAAGGCAAAGGGGCTTTCACAACAGTATGCTATTGACTTTCATTGATCCTTGGTACTTTCATTCTTGTCTTTGGGCTGTAAATCCTGCTCAGTTTTTCAGTTATATTGAAGGACTGAGGAGGTCAACCTTCAGTTCCCCATTAGTATACCTCCTAAACCTAGCTATCAACTAAGAGACACACACACACACACGTGGTTCCATGATTTACTTTGACACAAGGCCAAAGCCTGGAGAGGCTTTTATTATTTGCCAATAATCATAATGTCATGTTGATGGAGCAGGTCAATATCCCTGTGTGTTCTCTGTCTATTTGTCCATTGCCATCTCCCTCCTGCTGTTCTCTTTGCGTTTCTCTTATCTTCTTGTTATTTGTCTTTTTAACCAAATTTGGAGATTATTTTTGTGAGGTCATTCAACACGCCGGAGCCTCTTGTGCACTGTATATTTAGTGTGGCTGCGTTAAAATCACAACATGCTGAAATATTGACTGTTTTTATGGATGTGAATAAATGCCACAATCAACTTGCATTTAAAATTGCTTCCCAATACCCACTTTTTCTTCAGAAATGACAGTTTATCATCCACAGCTCCGAGGTCAATGATTATCCAGGAGAGAGAGATGTTTCTATGGTAACCTCTGAATGCCACACTTATTGTTTAGTAGCTTCGTTTAAAGTCATACTTACATGTATCAGTCTTGAGAAGGCTGTTGGTGCTCCTGAAATACTGCGGGTTTTCTATCACTGGGATCTTGGTCATGCCAATGATGACTGCATCAGGGCCCATCTCTGAAGAGGAGGGAGTGTTACTGCCATTGGAGACGTGGTGAAGAGGAGAAGCTGAGTCATCATCGTTGCTGATCACTGAGGATGGTCCTGAGTGAGAGATAGGATTGGAATAAGCACTGCGGGATAGAAAAAGGTTGACCATCAAAAAAGAAAGCAGATACTGGCAGGCAGTGAAGGGATTAGGCATCCTCTTAACATTACAACTGCGTGGAGCTGGGCGTCCAACTGAGATCATCAATCCAGTTTTCACACCCCATTCACAAAGGACCTGCTCAGATGGCATTTGAGTGAGAAAGTGACGGAACCTTTCGTGTCTGTTTCACAATCTTGTTCTTTTTTAAATTAAAAACACTCCCTTCCATCATGGTCAAGTATAGAAATGCCCTCATAAGGGCATTTCTATACTTGACCATGCCTATGTTTTTTCTGCTTTGACGACAATTGCACTCATATGTCCACAGATTTTTAAGACATGCTCAAATCTTTGATTTCTTCTTCTTGTTAGACTCAGTGAAAAATAAACTGACAAAAATATACTCCACTACCAAGCCAATGCAACAATTCCATAGCAGCATTGCCCTGCCATACCACAACTCATCTTAATGGTGGGTAGGTAAAGGGATGTGCACACCTTTTTGTATTAAGCTAAAAAGATGACTAAAATCATCGGACATGATTTGATGGTGCTATTGTAAGAAACATAAAAATTCTATAGGCATAACTAGGGTTTCTACCAAAACTAGGGTTTTGTTAAAAAGTAGTATTTTGCAAATGTCTAAATGAAACTGACTAAGGTTTCAAAGGGCGGCATGGGAAATGCCACCTCTGGAAGTTCTTGATTACCACTTGTTGCTTTCGTGAAGGTTCATGCTCTTATTCATACAATGCAGCCATTAATATTGAGGCCAAAAAATGTAACAGCAACACATTTTTATCTCCCCTCACAAGAGGAAAAGGATGTCTCCATTTGAAAAGAGGACTACTAATCAAATGGGAACAAGACCTAGGAGAAAGAATAAATAGATTTAGAATCCTATCATTGGCTAATTAAATGAATGGATGCCAACTGTTTGTAGGCAAAGATGGCAGCAGCAACAACATGAAGTCACTGAAAACAGAAGAGAGGAATGATGGCATGAATCAGACATGGAGCCAACCCTGTCACAGAAAATTAGTTTGTTTTGGCAACAAAATGAAAGTGTGATTAGCTTCTAATTAAAACAGTGAAAACAGTGAACAAAGTTAGTCAACAACAGTTAACCTTCATGATTTTACTGCTAATTTCTTGCATATAGAGAACCAAAATAAATAATACCACTCAGACTGAGTAACTAATGAACTGTCACAACCACAAGTGAATGCACATGAATTCTTACTATAAAGGTGAGTCATCTTAAATTTCCCAAAGGTGAAACTGGCACTGGAATGATAGCTCAGTTATTTTTCCAACCAATATGAGGACATTACTAAATTCATTAAGCCATGCTGGTTTATTAAGGCGTTCCCAAGCCAACCTGAACTATCTCCTTTATTTGAAGATCAGAAGTAACTCTGTGTCCAACCACCAGGTCCTGCATTACAATAGGGAACTGTTCATACTCTAACAGCTGAAGCTTATCTGTCCAAGGTCACTAAGTTTGACAAAGTGGTGAAATATTCTCCCGCAGAGGGTAAGACTTTAAATGGATGTTGGGTTACAACCTCCTGCAGTCTGTATTTATTTATCTATTTATTTTCCGCAGCAACAACAGATCTTTCCTCAGCATTTACTGGTGAATAAACAATGCATAGGAGATTCCATTAGGTTGTACAAAAAGTCTTAATAAGAACCAGAAAAGTGTGTAAATCATCTTAATCGTCCAGGTAAATAGAGGTTAGCAAATTACTGCCTTTCAGTGACTGTCGCTCAACTATAGCAATAAAAGCTGCTGAGTGGTTGTCTATTTGAGGCTTTTAACTGTGAGGTCATCTTATCTGTACCGTTTCTCTGAATTAGAGGCGTGAGCAATAGGACGTATGTTTCCATATGCCTTTAGAGAGCATAATTAGGGGCTACCATCCAGTCATGGTCTTTCATCACCACTTCAGCCTTGTGTCAGCTGAAGAAAAAATAACACCGGAGACAAGCAACCGCACTGGTTTTGTTACAGACTGGGCAGGATTGTTCAGATGCACACAAAATACAGACACGTCCATGGAAAAAAAACACGTTTGCAATGTGAGCACAGACCCAACAAGTTTTCTTTCCCATGTGATAAACTCAGCTTCATAATAATGCCGGTGGACATTGCCTCCTCTGTCCCTGGTCTCTTTTAAAGCTCTGGAGCTTGGCTGAGAGAGAGTGATGAGGGATTTTGTTTTGTGCCTTTGTGAGAATAAACAAGCTGGTATGTGCGTGTGTGGGGGTGTGTGTGTGAACCGTGTGAGAAGAGGAAAAAGCCTTGAGAGAGAAAAAGAATGACAATGACAACATAATAATTTGTTTGTGTGTGAGTGTGGAGACTTGCATGTTTATTTGTGCTATGAATGTGTGTGTTTGTGTTTGTGTGTTTGTGTGTGTGTCTGTGTGTGTGTGATGACTATGATCTTGCACCATATCTTTGTGTCCACCACGACACTGTATGAAAATCTGTCAGCAAATGGACCCTGAAGGTTGATGTGAGTGGACTGAAAAATGAGTGATGTAATGCTCTAGGTGAATTTTAAAAGCCTTATTGAAGTCAGTGGCTTAGAATTGTGATATTTTTGCAGCTTTCAGAAATAAATACACACCCCAAACAAAGCTGCTGTAAAAAGTTTAAACTTTCTTCAATATCATCTTGTATCATTATTTATAGTATACATATTGCGCATTTTCTATTTTTTCAAAATGATTTTAAAATAAATATATCACTATATCACTATATGCCTTATGGTTATTTGCCATAATGTAAAAATAGGCTTCTGTTACCTAAACCCTTTGTGAGCACTGGTTCAAACAAAATGACTGAAGCTGTAAGTGAACTGAAACTTAGCCTTGAACAAGTTGAATACGTCAAAAGAATAATTTATTGAAATGGCCATGGTTAAAATATGAGAAGATGTCATTGGTTTCATTCAAAACTCCAAGGGTGTTATCAAATCCTTAATATTTCACTTCCAGCTTATTCTGTAGGACAAGTAGTTACCAGTTTTGGAGTGCTATGTTCTCCTTAAATGATACCAGATGTCTTCAATTAGATGCATTTTGTCACAAATGACTGGCTTATCTTGCCCTAAAAAATCTGCAATCATTAATAAAGCTGTAAGTTTAAAACTGCTTAGATTTGTCATTTGCGTCATTTTTAGCTTTTTGTTTATCTTTACAAAACAAAGAAAAAACATGCAATGTATACAGGTAGTTGTCTGTCAGCACGTGTGTGTTTGAGCAGGGAGGGGCTGTAGATCATTAACAGAGAGAGGTCCCAGGGTCAGATCGTTATAAATACCGTTAAGCTGAGACCCGACAGGAGCCAGCATGCATTTGTGTGTGGACATAGAGGTGACAGAGGCTCCACTGGGAGTGACTGCGTAAAAGGGGGAAGAGATGATGTGAGAAAGACTGATGGAAGGAGGCAAAAGGAGATGGCCAGCAGAGGTGAAGGGATAAGTGGGGTCAGGTCAAGACCTTGCTGCGTTAATAGACATGGAACTGGTGTTTAAACTGGTGTAGAGTGGTGCTCTACGCAACTGTCAATAAATTACGATGGCTAGCTTTCAAAACGTGGGTTATGACTGAAGACTGGGTGGCATGGAGATGAGCGCTAAAACTGCCAGTGACTGTATGCCATTGTTTTCCTATCTATATTCTTATGTTGTAACAATAGATGCTGTAAAAGCTTTGTTGTATTGAATAAAGGTGCTGGATTCAAATAAAAGTCTGACACAGTGTTGCCATAACTCCTGAACAAGTAAGATACAACCCATATAAACCTTTCTGAAACAACATTTATAAGCTTTTTCACTTTGAAAAAGAGCCATAGATGTCTTGTAAGTAAAAGGATGGCATGGTAGATGGAGCATTACCGTAGAGACGGAGAGGAGTCTATCCGCAGACTAAAAAGATGTAACCTCGTGAACTGTGAACTGAAGTTGTCCAATTTCCGAACCACACGAGTAGTCAAGAGAAAATGTTGCCAGTGAGATGTCAAGTCTAGCAGAGATGGCTGAGAATCAGGTAGAATTGTTTTTTTTAACCTCTTTTCATCTGGAAAGAATGCAGGTACAGCTTCAGCGTGAAACAAACCCACACAATGATTCTGCTTCCGACAGAATGAAATATCAATTTTGTTCTGTTGGATGCTGACAAATACCGATATGGATCCTTTTTCACCTATAGAAGAAATCTTTCATTCAGAATTTCATAGATTTGTACTTAAATAAGATGTGTGTTGGTAAGAAGCCTCAAAGACATTGTCATAGGAGTAGTTGTACACAATAGTGTAGAATGCTACAGAGATGTTTGGGTGTTTTTTGTCACCGCTAACACCCCCGTACCTGCTTTAATAGCTGTTTTCAACCAGTTAGGACAGGCCATGCTGCCATCCAATCAGGGTAGACCTCACGAATAATGATGCTGTTGAAATAAAGAGATTCTGTGCAGACAGTCTGCTTTATTGAGGGCTATTCTTGAGTTCTGAGAGTAGCCGATTGTTGAAACTGAAAAAGTGGTTGCACTTGTCAATAAAGTAGAAAAACAAATTTAATAAAAGTCTAAGTGCTGCTTAGTCTAAAAAGCTGGCATTGAAATTCTTGGATTGACATCTTCTTACATACGTTTTACAACCTGGTGCTCCAGCGAGGATTTTTCCACGCCAGTATGCAGGATATTGCATGTCAAGAAAAGGGTGCTGGAAATTGAATCAACTTTTCAGCCAAAAAGCAACCCTGAAGCACTCAGCGGAAAGTCAGACTTATTGCTGCTACTGTCGGGGCAACGGTGATGACAGAGCAGTGCGGGCTACTACACACCCGTGACTGTTAGTCGGACAGTATGTTACAGAGTTACCACTATGTCCCAGTCCTCTGCCCATTCCTCAGCACTTTACAGCACACCGCTGCATCGCTGCTGTGGCAGGCTGTTGCCGGGGAGCCCTGGGGGTTTCGGGACCTGGAGTTGAGCGGCAGCTTTACGATCACAGTGAAGTTGAGATATAAACAATGAAGATGCATGAGTATACTGATCTCTGTTCAGCACCTCAGACAGG